GAGCAGAAATCTGTGGTTGCCTTGCACTTTGGAAGAAGCTTGATTCTGTGAAGCTGTGAAAAAACACACACCCTGTTTTGATTCTGAAACCAGTGGCCCCGTACTCGTTGCAGCTGTGTGTGCATTTACTGGAACTTTTAAAAAAGGAACTGAAATGGTAGCGTGACCTCCCACATCTGCACTGGCACACGAACTTGTGTTTGTAACATATGTTTGCACTACATAGATAAGACATGACCTTCGAAAAGCCCGGCATCCACCCTGTTGAAGCTAGGCTGTCCTGAGCTTGGCCTGAGCCTGGAGGGGAGACTGCATTTCACAAGGGGAGAAAGGATAGAAATATAATTAATAAAAAAATAGGAGCTTAAGCACATGTTGGGGTGGGGTGTGGGGGAACAAAACTAGCAATGTTGTGCATCAGAAACAAAAGAGGTCCCAGTGCCAATTCGATCATTGCTTCCATTTTGAAACAAAGATCTTTCCTTTTGGGGAATGCTCATGGGAAATTGTCTTAATGCATGGGCCTGATGGGCACTTGCCCGTGGGCCCCATACTAATCTGTGTATGTTAACCCTTGGAAAATTGGAAAACTTCCAAAATTAACAGTAGTTGTCATAGGGGCCCCAGTACACTGCTTTGCCCGGGGCCCATCATGCTGTTAAGACGGACCTGAAGCAGCCCCTTGGCGTGTGTTATCCTGTGTTTCCTATTTTTATCCTGTGGCCATTTCTAGGCATTTTCCTGCTTTTGCCTTAGCATTCCATGCCATTTTTGATTTCCTTAAGCAAAATCAAGTTTGTTCTCACCTTCTGGCCTTGGATCTTTCTCAGCTAGTTTATCAATGCCAACCAGATTTAACAAATGACCTGGACTGATTAACAGGTAATAGTGAAGTTCTTTTTATCATAGGGGAGAAACAGGATTCCCTGAAGACCAAACAGAACCCCCGAGTTGAATTACAGGAGAATTTCACACGTTTAGAGCTCGTAGAGGCAAGAGAGCATGCTGGGAGCTTAAAAAAGGCTCAACATTTATTCTGGTTTTTTCTTTCTCCTTCCTTTCTTGCCTCTCACGGCCCCACAGAAATAACAGCATCCACGTTCCCTTCCTTTTCTCTCACCTTCAGTACTGTCACAGTAGCACTATAGCATAAGCTGAGAAGGAAAAGAATGAAGAAGATCAAGATGGTAGTCCATAGGCTTTCCAGTTCCTCTTCTTGCTCATCAGTTGTGGCAATGTCTGAGGTTATCACTGGTGCTGTGGGAAAGAAAGAGATGTCACTTCCGGTAGAAAATATCCCAAGACTCTCTCCGGCTACCGAGTCCCAAGTGCATCCATCTGTCCCTGAACGCTTGAATTGCGGTGTGCAAACCATCATAAAAGGCACTTATTCTTTGAAGAATCATGGATTTTCTTGGGAAATCTCCTTGGCCAAGGAAGTCTATCTGCCCCATTTGGTTGTGATCGCTTTTTACCTTTCATGTCATTCAAGTTTCTGGTATTTTAATACCTGCACACTTGCTGCCTCCTGGGTTCTGTCTGTAGCCTAGAAGCAGCGTGTGTGAACTTGTACTCCTGCAAGTTTATTGGAGGGACTATTAAATGCAATCATCTAATTTTTATTATGGCCATTTGGCTCATTATATGCTTATCCCATGTCACTTTTAGGCCTAGGCCTACAAATTAACTCTGCCAAGCTGAGAGAACTCTTTAGGTTCCTAGTACGACTACGCTCAGCATCGGTTCACCCAGCTCTCCCGCTGGGCTGAAGAAAGACGCCAACTTGTCTCCAAGCTGTCACTTGCTACACCTTTTCCCAGGGTTATGGAGGATTTGATGAACAACTGTCTGCACAGGTGCTGAAAACCATTCCTTTATTGGTTTCACACATGGCAAAATCCATCCTAGACTTGACAAGGTGTCAACAAGGAACAGACAGGAACCAGACAGAACAACCCTGAAATGATCCTCATACTCTTAGGTGTAATTCAGGTTAAACGAGCCTTTTGCAGGAGGAAAGCTCCAATTAGAAAGCCACACAGGCTGCTTCATGAAGAAGTATCTTTCTGCCACTTGTAGCTTCTAAGGAAAGTCCCCAAGTAACAGCTGGCTGCATCCTTTCCGTATGAAAACAGCACCATTTGTGAATGTTTGGGTGAATTAACGCATGCTGTTCTTTGTAAGTCTGCATATATTATATACATATAAAATTTGAAATAAATATTTTAGATTTTTTGCGCCTTTGCATCCTCTTTCTCCACTTTTTTTTAACCCAATCAACCCCAAATCGCTTTCTATAATACTCCATTTTACTTTTTCAAAGACAAGAACCACCAACATTCTTGGGCTCCAAAGTCCTGCATCTTGTGCCTAGAATGTGTGCGCGTCTTGTGAGTGAGTGTGGGGAGGATGCCTGAGGGTTGGTGTCAATGTGTATTTCATTGTTCCACCAATTAGTTCTCCCGTGTGGCCCCGACAATATCAGGGTCAGGGTTCTCAAACTCCTTAAGAGGAAGTGTTGGTCACTCGGTGTCCCTTGAGCCTGGAATTTAGATTCCTAGGAATTGGACCCGCCTATAAGTCTCTCCGACTGCCATGAACTGAGTCATGCTGTGATGTGAAAGGGACTTCTCACTATCCGTCCCTAAAAGGCAGTTCTCATGTCCTTTGAGTGAAATCAGTGATAAATAATCCTTTTTGAAAGAAGTTTCAGAAGGCTTAAATTGTTCTATAGATGAGAGGAAAACAATGGCAGGCCCCTTGCTGCTTAGTTGGCTAAATCAGCTAAGAAGCTGCCCTTCTGTACATTCGATCCACTAGAGCTAAGTCCTGTCTATTGAGGCGGCAGAGTACAAGACGTGGTTTGTGAATTGGCTTGCTTTTCTTTCGTTCTGCCTCCCAGGTACTCTGTGTGATACGTCACATTTAAAAAGTTTCTGGCTCAGTCCTTGGCCCGGCCAGTCCTTGACCAGACCAGTATGGTGCATTAACCTAAGAGGAGTCCAGCTGCAGTGAAACATTGACTCCAGTATCTGGATTCCAACAGTGGCCAAGCAGAGCATGAGGGTTAAAATTCTGCCCTGTTGCATGCCCAGAAGCAAGTGGGATTAAGAGAGGCAAGGAAATTCCAAGTTACTGCTTAAGGACAAGACCTTCCACCATGAGCGATGTCAAACCCCATGTACAAGCAGAGAAGAGTGCAATGAAACTAGAGTGAGACTGCACAGCAATAGCTAGAATGGACATTTAACTCTCCTGGCCCACACTCAAGCAAAATTTTGGAGTGGCCGTCCTGGCGAATCCCTTTCTGCAGAGGTTGCAAAAGTCTTTTGTAATTTTTTTCGGGTGGGGGCAGGGGCTTAGTGAAAATGTCACTGCATCACCCTATTTTACTCCTAGCCGGGTCTCTTGAATCATGTTACATCATGGCACTCAGTTGCTGCTTGTAAGGGCAAAGCTTAAAAAAGAAGGTTGTGGGTGGGGAAGGTATCAAGAAATAAATGTAACGGAAGAAATATACCATTGCTTTTGCCATAAGAACCCTGTTGGAGCTGTTTTGTATTTTCTTTCCACCTAGTTTTTCATCTTTCCCTCAGCCTTCACAAACATGAGCATGAATCCTGCCCCTCCCTGGGCAAACTATTTCCCCCCTTTTTTGCTACCTTTAAAGTTAGTTCTGTGTTTCTGTTATTTTATATGCACTTGAGGGAGGGAGAAGAAACAACCACAGATAATGCGTTTTCTACTGTTTTTGTGAAATTAATTTTCTGTGTGGGTCTTCCATGTTGGCGTATCTATATATTGGAATCCAGAAAATTAAAATGACTGAATAGGGCTTATCTTCTGGAGAATATGAGAGGGAAGTTTAAATCATAATTAATTTCCATAATGTTAGGGATTCTTTAACCTGTTTATACATTAGTGTGTGTGTGGGGTTGTGTGCATGCATACACTGCCGTTCAAGCTGCAATGCCTCTCCACGTGTTCTTCCGGTGTGACCGCTTGAAGTGCTTCAGCCTCGTAGGTGCTGCTGGGTTGCCTCACCTCCTCAAACTGGGGGCTACACTTCAGAGGGGTCTCCTCAGCCCAACTCATGAATCCTCTTTTCCTATCCTGCACTGCTGCTCTTGATGCGAGAGAACCTGTTTGCAGGTGTCTCGGACTAAAGCCATGGCAGCTGTTGCACTCTTGAACAACACACCGACACTGAAATGGCACTCATGCTTTTGAGCAAGCATCCAGAGTCGGCAATGTGGACTCACGGGCCAAATGATGCGGCTGGGCCAGGGAAGGCTGCCTGTCGTCTGGGGTCAAATCGCCCCTTAGCCAGGAAGCTGATGGGACCCATCCCTCTCTCTCTCCGAGGTCACCCAGCGCTGTAGCTGCAAGGCTGGCTTGGGATAACCTGGTGTCTGAGCCACTTGGTGAGAAAAAGGGGATACAGCTGTGACGACAGTAAATGCCACTTGCCTGCAATGCCAGCATTTTGCCTCTCAGAGATCAATCCCCTTCCCTTTTGGAACACATCAACTCATCCCACAGTGGTTGGGTTCACACTTTACAGCAAGCAACACCTCGCAGTTTCCATCCCGAAAGACAAGCAGGTCCCGTGGGGAAACTCCTCCAGTCTGCCAGTGTCTTCCCTCTCAGTTCCCCAGGCAGTATCCCAGGAGGTGCTGCGTGGCTCCTCACGGGCCACCACGTCCAGCTCACCATGGCTCTGAAGTGGCCTCTGTGCCACCAACAGCAGCGAGGACAAGAGGCCGGTTGGCTGCAAAAGGGCAGCGCGGTGCAATGCATCCTGCAGCTCCCAGCCGGGCCCTGGGGGCACCAGCAGCTTCTGTTGGTAGTTGCTCAAATTCAAGCATACCATGCGGAAGTACCGAGATGGGTTCAGATGACAGGGCAAACCAGAGAGATTAAAGAAGCCACCGTTGCTTGTTGTGTTGTGTGAACCCACCCACTGCCACTCCGGGAAGAGACAGCAATCACGGGCCCGCTTGGGCAAGTTCTCTTTTATTCAGCCATTGGCAACACATGCATGTACAGTCACAGAGGGTTTGATCTAACAGTAGTAAAGAAAATTCTGGGGAAGGAGGAAAGGGGTGCAACTCTGGATGAGGAGGGTCTTCATTTTTTACCCTGTGATTTTGCAATTCTTTTTTGGATAAACTTCTCAGGAAAGCCTTCGTGGACAATCGTCAGGGTGTAGGTATCACCTTTGTTCCAGTCTGTCTTCTTGACTTTCAGTTTACTGTAGAAGAAAAAGGTGCTCCCCTCTCTGATGATTGGGCTATTGATATAACCGCCTTCAATGGTGGCGTT